GTCGGGCACACACACGGCAGGCTGGGCTAACGCGCAATTAAATCCTGCTACTGAATCAACCATAAGACAAAAGAACAATTTCCAGTATGTTAATGTCTGATTATAAAGCAAAGTGTTATTATTTGATCACGCATTTAGCATAACTTTATTTCAGGTGAGCCCTAACAAAGTTATTGACAGCTTGGAGTGAGATAACGGAATTTCTCCTGCTATGCAACACCCCAGAACAAACTTATCTCCTCATTATTTTAAAGAACTTGCATATAAAGTAACACTTTCAACTTGTGGACTAATTTACCTTCATATTTGTCAGTGAGGCTATGCATGTGTGACATCAATATGATGTCACGTCAGCAGAGATTATCTCAAAGGACTCTGTAAACCCTAAAAACCTTGTTAGCCCCTACCTGTTACTTTAATCTGAAAAGCTTCTCCCTGTGTCTGCAAGAAGGAGCTGTTCATTCTCAACGTGGATGAGTTGCTTTGAAGCAAATTCAAAGAGTGCTGCTGGAAACCAGTCAGGCCACAGGCTAGAGGGAGGGTTGTAGGCTGGAAAATCAGACAGAAAAGAACACATGGCAGTAGAGGCTTTTTGCTGTTCTTTCTGTTGTGATTTAGCAGAAGCAGGGGAGCAGTTTGGTGCCCTTCATTGTAACCCCTCCCAATCCAGGCACCCATTGTCTCCACCTTCACTAGTATTTTCTAAGCATCACTTGACTAAATACCCCTCTGAGGCCATATGGCTTTGTGGATATTTATTTGTGTCAGTGCAGTATTTCTGACAAATCTGGTGCTCTCACCTTGTTTTGGAATGTGTTATCTAAATACCAGTTATAATATATGGCCTGGGAGTCCTCCTGTCCAGAGACACTCAAAACAACTTCATCACTAACATTCACTGGCTTGCAGTTTGCCTCACACCTGCAAGGAAGTAAGATGGGCGTTACACATAGTATGAGATGTCTAGGAGAAATTTCACACAAATCTTATGGCATTTTTTCCTGTTGTTTCAATGAGGTTGATACATTGCAATTTCCAACACTGCAGCGGGGTCAAAAACCCTAAGTGGTTTTCAGAAGAATGTGTTTCAGTTTGTAAAAGGATCGTGTTCAAAAACATGGACTGAAAAATGCAGCAAGACTTATTTGGTCAGCATTTTTTATAATGGTAGGGCACAAATGGATTTAGAACAATAAGTTTTCTTTACTGCGAGGGTGTTGAGGCCCTGGCACAGGTTGCCCAGAGAAGGTGTGGATGCTCCATCCCTGGAAGTATTCAAGGCCAGGCTGGATGGAGCTCTGAGTAACTTGATCTAGTGGAATGTGTTCTGCCCATGACTGAGGGGTGGAACAAGATGATCTTTAAAGTCTCTTCCAACCCAAAGCATTCTGTGATTCTAGTTCTCTATGATTCTAAAAGTACAGTACTACTTTATTATCATTATTATTGGAAACTGTGGCCTTGCACTATGCTTGTGTAGTAATAATATTAACCTGTGAATGCCAGGCTTTCAAACCAGACCTGATTTCCAGTTGCAGTTCCTGTTTTGCAGTCACATAGAGACATTGCTCATCCTGCCTCTCTTCACTGCCATGGTTTTGGACAGTAATCCTGACAGTCACTGCTGATTTCGGAGGAGGAAGGCAGGAAGGTGGGATTTGCACCTCACTTTGGTTGATTAGGATTATCTGTTGCTTCACACATTCATTCCAGGCAGGCCAGCAAGCTCCTGCAGAAACATTTCCTTTATGGTTAGAACAGCAGCCTATAAAGGACTTTCCTGCCATAAGTTTCAAAGAGCTTTAGAAACAAATTTCTTGAACACAATTTAAAGAGTTGGTAATCTGGATTCAGAGTACAGGCTTTTCCAAAGTCATGTATGAGGTCAAGGATAATTATGAGGATAGGACACAGATGGCCTGAATCCCAATTCTGTTTTCAGCCAGAAATGTGTTTGCATCATGTTTAATGTTAATTATTGCTGTTTTATTGAGACACAGGTACTTTGAAAATACCTGTGTAAGTCACTTGGGATTAGTCCTTGGCTATGAGAGAGAAGCTTAGGACAGGTAGATCTTGAAAAACTGAAACCTTTGGGAGAAGACAAAGTGGAGTACTATGCCATATTATATACATAATTAGTTTGGTCCCAAAACTAGGGTTGGGTAGAAGGAAATTCTTCATGTACATTGAGTAACAAACTTTAAAGCCACAAAATGAAGCATCCTTAAGTCAAATTTTTAACACTGGATCTGACACAACAGTGAGTTTGTTACTCATCAAGTACAACTTGGTGAAAAAAGCTCAGGAAATGCACAAACCACAGGTCCAGAGAAAACTGGAATTATTGTTGTTGTCTGGCCAGCCAAGTGTAACAGTTGTGAAAGGATCCACATGGCGACTTGGTTTAATATATATTTTGTGATCCTAAATAAGAAGTAAATGCATCAGTTAGAACACAAACATGAATAAACACATGTTTATACATATGTTGCTTCTTTATAATGAAAAAGGTCTGAAAGTTTAGACCCCGAATCACTGGATGCAGCTTTGTACTTTATATAATCTTTCTCTTAGCAGAGGTAGTGTGGCAGTAGAAGCAATGGGAATAGAAGAAGATAGCACAGAAAAATTGTGTGGCAAAATTCTCCCATTGGTTTAGGAGTGCAGCTCCCATTTTCAGAACTAGGTGCTTAGGAAATCAATTCCTATTAAACCTTCACATCTGGACCAAGACTTCTAACCCTTGAACAACCACTTGTCTTCTGGTGCATTCCTTTTTTATCTTAATTGGATACATTGCAGCTATAAACAAAGAGGAGAAGGGGTAGCTGAGTTTGTCTGTCTGTGTACCAAACTGTGATAAACTTGGGTGTGGATTAGATTTATATTCCTCTGATGCAATATATTTTCACAGGCAATCTGTAAAGCATGATGGCTTCTTGTGAAGCAGTATATCTCCCATAGCAGATGTCTGTCTGCTAGTGTTACTGTTAAAAACTAGACTTTTAACATTATTAAATATTCTGTCTGGCATTTTTATTATTTAAATTTGGACAGCTGCTAGCAATTGGTTTATCATTAACTTCTTAGTTTGCCAAAAACTGGGAGATTTTTCATTGCAAAATAATTTAAACACTCCAATACAAAAGCAGAAAACACTTGGGAGCCATATAAAATATATTAAACTCTACTTGAAGGATCACTTTCCAGAGAGAGGTTTACATTAGTCAAGTAGATGAATTAAAAAGTTCATCTAAACATATTTTAACTTCCAAAACTGAGTTGTTGTAAAAAGTTCATTTTCTTTAATCTTTTTTATGCATTGTAGATGGAATGCCTGTAAACACATTTGTCTCCAAGACTTGTGGTATAGATTTTGTGTTAAACCATATGGAGAACAGAACATCTAGTCCATAATTTACTGTGCTGCAAATACTTCTTTTCCTTGTCTTATACAGCACTTTCACTGGTAAGAAAAATCTCTAAGCAATTTTAAAGTAAGGTTCTTAAATAATACTTACATTTTTGTTTGGGATATTTGTTTTGTAGCTGCTTTCTTCCATATCAAAATCTGTTTAATGCAAAAAAGAACAGAATATTTTAGTGCTACCTGTAAAGCTTTCAGACATCCTCAGTGAATATGATTTAAATCCACAGGATTTGACTTGTGACAGTGTGAAAGATGGGGCTGTAAGAATCAGATCCAGAGCTGTGACAAACAGCACAGTCAAATGGGTAAAATGGTAACAACAAGCTCATCACAGACTACAAAGGGAGGATCCTGATTCTTCAAACATAACAGTATAAATCAAAATATATCCACAGAAGGTGGTGGAGTTTCACTGATGTACAAAGGAAAATTGATGGAAAGCACTGGAAAACTTTCAATACAATTAGTGCTGAGGTTATTTTATGTCTGGTATAATCTGCTCTTGTAAATGTGAGGATGAGCCATCTAGAAGCCATAAGTGACAGCAATTTACGAGACTGCTGTGATGCAAATATTTTCTGGTTTCAAAGCTATGTCCCAAGCCATAAACTTCACTCATTATTTCTAGGACAAACAGCAAATGTGCAATGTGTTACATATACAGAGTGATGCTAATTTATGACTACATCAAAGTCAGGGAATCTGCCTTCATCAGGAAGAAGCCTCCACAAAAGTTTTCAGCACTGTTGCTGGAAGGAAAGAAATTACTACATGCAAACCATAAACACTCCGTGAAATGTTCTGATTGCAAAAAGACACTTCCATGGTGAAAACCAGCACTGTCAGATTAATGTAATTACCTTCTTTATGGGAGCTGTTTGCCAACACAGTGATGAATCCAAGATCCAGACTCATGTTGGAGAAGTCATTCATGGCCACCACTTTCACTAGATAAGTACCTAGAGAAGGAAAAGGGCCAGTTAAGAGTAGCAGTGAGCCCAGTCCAAAGGGTTTGTGAAGAAAATCCCCTTCTTTTCTGTTAAGAGTTTTCAGGAGGGTTTCTGATGGGTGTCCACTGCTGAAAGGCTTTTCCTGAAATGTTTTTCCCCTTTATCTCAATTTCTGAATAACTCAGCTGCCCTTTTCCTAGCCCTTGTCATGCAATTGTTTGTCAGCTGACTATGATATCACACAGGAAACTAGAGGTGTACAAACACTGGAGGCCAAATGAGTTTAAGCATCTTGAGAGAGCAGTTATCTTGTTTGAAAATTTCTGCCTATGGGGAAGAGATGTTCAAATGGGTACAGGGAGAACAAATAAAACTTTTAATATTGAATAATTTAAAAATATGAAATGAAATCATAATTAGCTTCTACTGTTCCCACTTTGGCATGGGGCTGGAATAGCTCATTAGAGGTGGAAACTTTTTTATCTTCTGCCACTGTTAATTAACTCTTAGGCACAGTCTGCCTAATTCCACGTTTTAAAGGCTTTGACTATGTAATAATGGAAGGATAATATTACTAAAATGTTTATTCATAATTAACTCCAAGAAAAGTTATGTGTTGGAAATGGACACGCAGAAAAACTCCCCTTTTTTTTGTCATCTCTACTGAGAACTCCTCAGATTATGAATAACTTCAGTGTAAAATGCAGAGCAGTCTAAACTTGAAACATAATGAACAAATGGGAGGAAAACACTTTGCTATTCAAGCAAATGTCCTCATTTGTACTTTAATCAGATGGTGCCATGAAAAAATAAACCCTATGTCTCTTTACTGTGTGTTTTCCATTGCAAGAATCAGGTGAAGCCTTGCTCTGACTCTGCAGAGCAGAGCCATTTGTCTGCTTCAATTTTAGCTCGCTTACATAGGACTGTGCTGTTCATCCTGCTCTGCAGACTTTGAGCAGTCAGAAAGCTGTCAAATTCAGCTGTGCACTACTGTCCCCTAGCCCAGGATGCTGTGACTCTTTGTGTGACCTGTGCTGTCCTGGAAGCACAGGAGGCGTTGATATTTCTGTACCTTCCCAGGGCACGGGAACGCCGTACGCCCGCGGCTCCCCACGAGGGCCGTCTGCTTTGTGCCGCTGGCTTTGGTTGGATCCAATCACCTCAAACATCAGCTCCTCTGGGGCACCATGGGACACAGAGACATTCACCTCCAAATCCTGCCCCAGCTGCAGAGTGTGGGAAGCCACTGCAGCCTGAATTCCAGACACTGGCTCAATTAAATGAACAGCAATAGTCGCAGAGATCTGCGATGCCATCGTGCTCCTGGATGCTCGGATCTCCAGCTGGTGCATCCCTGGGCCTATCAGCTCCTGAGAGGCCCTGCTGAGTGTCAGGTTATGGGGGACAAAGCCTTCCTTTGCACTGGATTCACTCAGTGTCATGTTATCTGCTAGCACACTGTAGGTTACTCCATCGCCTGCAAAAACACAGATGAAAATTTCTCACAGCTTGTGCAACAGGCCAGCAAGTTCCAGCTGCTTTGTGCAGCATTCCAGTGTTTATACAGGAGTCACAAGAACACTGCAGCAATGCAGTCATTTTTAATAAAGTCACTTAAGGTGACTTAATGCAAATCTATTGCGTGTTTTCTGCTGGGAATGTTTTGAAAAGAGAATTCAAACATACACTACTGATTTTTATTTTTTTTCAGCACATATGTGGCTTCCAGGAACTTGAAGTGAGAAAGAAATGTACACCAGCAAATGTGTCCAGCTCAGAGAGGAATCCTCTTACTCTAATCAGAGGAAACTTCTAACTTCAAATACAGAAATATTCTGACTGGCATCACATAGATTTTTGTGACTAAAGTTAAGCTTGTGCTATCAGCTTTGCCAATAGGAAAAAAGGGTTTATGCTCATGCTTTAGGTGGTGAAATATCTCTGAGAAAGGACCCCTCCAAGGGAGCTGAGAGAATAAAATTGCAGGAATACAATTAGCGGGAAAGCATTGACTAAAAGACAATTATTATTTTGCATCATGACAATCCTGCTTCTATCCTAAGAATGGCAATGATATTTATCCTTCCCTTTAAACCATGCAGAGAAAGGATGCTCACCTGCAGTGAGCTGAACCTGGATCCAGAGCAGCTCCCCATAGAGCGTTCGGCAGCGGGAGCTGTTCCCTGCCTCGTGCTGGCTGTAGCACCCGGTGATGCTGAGCTGCTCCTCCTGCTCCTGAACTGTCACCTGCCTCTGGGCCATCACGTGCCACTCGCTGCTGGTGCACTCCACAAAAACACTGAACTCCCCAGGAGAGGAGTACCTGTATGTGAGGTTGCTGACCAGGCTAGAATAGAAAGACAACTTGTTGTGAAAGACCATTCTGGGAAATCTTTCACCTTACAAGATAACACATCCCCAAATTTCATTCATTCAAAATGTCATTCCTACCACTAAGATGAAAACTGATTTTTAAATGCAGCAGAAAAATGTTCGATCTATTAAAGACAGGATTTCTATGCAATTAAAACAGAAACTACAGAATGTCCTTGTTATATTTTGTTATCAAAAAAAACCTCTTTAAACTTAAGGAAATAATATTTGCTTGTAGTTTGGCAATTACTGACATGTTTTCAGTAATTCTGCATCTTAAGATTTGGAATTAATAGTCTTGGAAATAGGAAACCCTTGTTATAATAGAAGAAAGATTGTGGTTGGCAGCTTCATATAAAATTTTGTCTTGATTTCTAAACAGGTTTTTGCAGAATCCAAATCTCTCATAGGTATGTTCTATTATTGAGCTATCTAGTTTTTAACATCTCATTTATGAGACTTTGCACATTCAATGAAGTGCAAGCAATGAAATGTACTGCTTGTCTGAAGAGAAATGAAGGCTCCATCTTACTTTAGAGGGTAGTAAGGATCAATGGTGTGACCATCTCCAGTGCTGATGGTACAGGAAAGGTTCCCAGAGTACGGTGACAGCAGCCAGATCAAAGTGACTGTGATATTTTCAAAGACAAAACATGTGTCTTTCATAACCAGCTGCAGACCTGCAAAACAGAATCACAATTCAGTGCCACTGTTTGTCTACTTTCCTTACAAAATTCAATTTATTTTCAGACATTGAGAGCCAGCCTGCTCCAAACCACAGCTGGTGCTGTTGCCAATTTGTGTGCATTAGTGGTGTGACAGGGAGCTGATTCTTTTCCATGACTAGTAATCAAAATTATTGTTGGAACATAATTTCATCTAAATATGTTTTATGTGTCTGAATTTCTGGGCTTTATATTCTACCCAGAACCCTCAGTTAGGACAGGGAATCTACATTTTTGTGCCTATTTTCAGTGATCACCACTATTCCAGTTTCTTCCCTGAGGATGGAACAGTGATTTTTAAGATAAATACCCGTGGTCTCAGTGTTACAGCACAGAACAGGACAGGTTTCTTGTGTGGGCATCCCCCTCCCTCTTACCTTCCTTGCAGTGGTACTGAATTGACAAGTAGCTTCCCAAAGCTGGACAAGGCTCTCCAAAGAAAGTGCCATCTGCTGCCACCTGGCAGGCCTGCAGCCCGTGACACTGGCCTGCAAAGGGAGCGTTTCAGATCAGCACGTGGCTCTTCCTTTACTGCCACAACAGCTCACATGAAAGATGATTGAGAAACAAAAAGGATTTCTAGACAAATTTCCACATCACTTTGATTTTAGTGTGTTGCTTATTTTGTGGCATTTCTTAGCAACAATTCATTTTATTGGAGCAAAGCTGAATTTGAAAAGGTACCCAAAAAAGGCTTTTGTGTTTTGTTGAATTTTGGCTGGAAACCCTAAGAATCTCCCTGGGGTCAGGCCACAGTCACTGTTCAGTATCCAAATTCTTGGCTGCAGCAGGGTGGGTGCCTGACACACGGCAGGGAGCAGCAGGTCCCTCCTGCCCTCATGTCCCCGTGGGTGTCAGCCTTGTCACCCCTCCTGCTTTGGAGTTAGGTTTGTCTGGATGTGTTGCCTTCCATCTCAAACCTTCTGTATCCCACTGAATTTGTCAAGGAATCAGTGCGCTCACATATTTTCTTCCTACAGTAAGAGGAGCCAGCCACACCCTTGTCAGGCACACCCCTGGCCCTTCATTTGCTCCTCCCCTCCTGTGAATCTTTGCTCTTTGCAAAAATCCCTCTTTTTGCTCCTCCTCTCCTCCTTTGAATCATCACTCCTCACAAAACCCTTCCTTTTGCTCCTCCTCTCCTCCTCTGAATCATTGCTCCTCACAAAACCCCTCCTTTCCATCCAGCCTCCTGTAGCAACCTCCTCCCCATCACAAGTTCTCTGTGATTCCCTTCATTTTAGGAACAATCCACTTTCCCATTTGCAAAGTCTACTGGGAAAAAAGAGAAAGTATTTGAGGCACAAGGAACTTTGGTACCACTTTGTGTTTCTGACAAGCAAAGCTGTGAAATACCACCTGCTACTTCATCCTTGACACTGAGCCAGCTGCAGCCTTCATCCCTGTCAAACTGCAGAGGAGTCTCTGACACACAGTAGTGAGGGGTCTTCCTCCCATAGAAGCTCTCTTCAATTTGAATTACTTCTCCTGATCCACACTGTACAGTGGCATTGGAATTACCACAAGCGATGCTCTGGCCAGATTCTAATAGGAGAAAAAAACCCAAATATTACCTTTTTGAATTTCTGAAAAATCCTGCTACAATTCTACTCTATGTCCATTTTGTTTTTCTTTATTCCCTTTTCTCCCTTTTAATGTAAACAATTAAGAAAATTTAAGAAAATTAATAAGAATTAAATATTTTTATTTTTAGAAAGTCAAAATTAATAGATATGTGTTTTTACTGCCTTAAAATATTGAGGATGTTTTCAATCAGCAAAAATATTTTCATTATAAAAATAGATAGTATTTTGTGAAAAGCTCTTAGCATTTGTCTGACCTGAAATACTGGAAGGTTTAAAGTTGCTCCTCACTTCCGAGAGAGATGTATGGATTGCATAATATTCAGGTAATTGCTTTGGAGAATAGTTTGCATATTAACTATGGGAGCTGATCCCATTTCTGCTACAGAGACTCCTTTGTTCCTGTGTGATATTTGACTGACTTCATTCAGCAGGACTGCTCAGATGGGTAAGGTCATAGCTCTAAATACATACACCTCATTCTTTGATTAATCTGGGACAGTTAATTATCTTTCAGAATTCTTAGTTTCGTGTAGTAATCAGGCTGCTTAATACCCTGAAGAGGAGGATGTGAATAACTGCTCTCATATGGGAGTGTTGCAAAAGGATGTTTTTGTTTCAGCTGTTCCAGGTTTAAATACATTGTCCTCCCGTTGTTGTTTGGATCATTCCCCTCAAGTCCCTTGATTAACAGTGCCAGTGTGTGCACACTGCAATAATTGTGTGCTATTGTTATTTAAAGGCTAAAGCTAAGCCTGGCTGTAACTATAGCAACATGATCAGTTTGCAGATTAGAGCTCTCTAAATAAGCTTGAAAAATAACTTGCTGGTAAATTCTGGTATGGACCATTATCTCATGCCTTTTTTTTTTTTTTTTTGTTCTCTATAAGCAGGTTTCTCACAGTATTTGCTGTTCTCAGCAACTTTTACATGCAAAGATGGACAAAACTTGGTCTGTGTCTAGGTAAAAAGCCTGCTTTGATACATATATATTTACTATAATACACTGCTAACCTACAGAACACCAAATGGTAGAATTGCCTTGATCTGGTCTTGTTTTCTTGGGTAGTGGAATGATGAATGTAGTGTAGGATATTGCTGCTCTTTGAATTTAATGGGCTCTCAGTCAGATCCTATGGTAACAGATGATAGTTTCCTTACAAACAGACAGCTGTCTACTGTGGCTGTAATGGAAAAATAATTTTAGTCTGTTTTTGCAAGAAAAATAATCTTAAGGGATTGTGCTGTCTGCCAGTTTCCTCTCCCCCAGTCATTTTTAATGTTAGTCATCTTCAGCTAAATTTGATGTATAGATATAAACCTCCAACACCCTAAAATTTCATGAAATGCAATATCTAGGGAGAAGAGAAAGAGCTACATCAATACCATGGACATGGAATTCAAGTGACCAGCACACACAGCTGGAGCTCTGGAGCAGCTGCAGGGGAGGGAGCTGAGGCAGTGAAAAGAATTTGCAGAGATGGGACATGCTGGGATATGGGGGTGAACTGGGAATGCTGAGGAGAGTAGGGAGGGGATGTGGAGCAGAAATTTAGGATAGGAAACAAAACTTCATTAGCTTTGCTTATGGCAGAACAACTTGTTATTTCTGTCAGTAGTAGCAGAGTGCTGGACAGGGCAGCAGCAGCTCTAGGGCTTGTGGAAACCTGTGCTTGCATACTTGGTTGGATTTTATATTAGTGAGCCCACAGCCAGACTGTCCTTCCAGTGCTTGTGACCCCAGTTCCTGCTGCAGTTTGAAGTACTCCTGTGCAAAGTGGGAGGAGCACGAATTCCCCTCATATCTATATGTTTCAAGGGATGATATTGCCAGCATTCCTGTCCAGAACTGTTTGTTCCAAGTCACAACTTGAGTGACACAATGTCTGTGGATTTTCTGTCTGAGCACAGGAAGTACAGGTTCCTGTCTGCTTCCTTAACCTGGGAAAACCTTGAACTTCACATGGTGGAAGGGTCTCAGAAGAAACAAGAAAAACTTGTTCTCAGTTTTGCTCACTCCAGGCTTCAAGGAGTGGTGCCTCTGGAAGCCTGCCTGTATTTTTGCTTCAGTTACAAATGGAAATGATTCTGGCACACACCAATGAGTGTTTTTATGGTACAGCCATATGGGTCCTACCTAGCCCAGATATTATGGTCTTGGTAGGAGTTTATTCTTGCAGCCATGCTTAAACATACCCAGCTAATGTCCACTGAAGATGTGGACAGCTACACATTATATTCACTCTCAGATCCATTTCAATTTTATCAACCCTCTGCTGGAACCCTGGGCCTTAATGTCTGGTTGCTGAGCACCTACATCTCCCAGTGATTTGTGGGTTTTTCCTTCTTTGGATCAGGTCTTTATCAGCACACTGGAAAAAGAGCACTTGCTGGGGTTACATGACTTTTTGCTTGTTAACATTTAAAAAGATTCATGAGGTTATTTCCCAGCCACTTTGAAAGCAACAAGGCAATTTATGCCCCATTGTGATCACAGCACACTCACTTCACTGTTCCAGCTGTTGTGTATCTTACCAAACTCGCAAATGAAGTCAAATTCCTGGCTGCAATTTTCAGTCACACCCCACTGATACTTGGCATTCTTCAGGATGTACCCACACATGGATGAGAAGGGAGATGGCTGATCCTTGTACCAGTTACTGTAGATTATATTTGAAGTGTCCAGCCAAGTTATTGACCCTGCAAACAGAGAAATTGTGTTCTGAATGTTTATTTTCCACAGTAACACAATTAGAGTCAGAGCCTGCAGAGCAGGATTGTAGCCCTGCTCCTACTGAAGCAGAGATGGTTTAGGCTGGGTAATGATCTTCAATTACATTTTATATTGAACCTGATACAATCATGAAAGGAGACACTGCCATTTCCACCTGTGCTCTCAGCCTCCAGATTTCACCATTTCCCTTGCATCAGACCTTGCAGCACTTCCTAGTGGGATGAACTGGCTTCCACTGGAGACCTAACCCAGCACATTTGTTTCACTGGGTTCAGCAAGCTGCTCTCACTCACCATGTGTTCACACTACCACAAGATCCAATGGAAAGGGTGATAATGTGCAACAAGGTAGTGAAGCAGGCAATTAAACATCTTAATATAAATCTGAATATACAGCAACAAAAGAGGCTTTTCAGCAGATATCTACAAAGGGACTTACTGCATTTTTTACCATGTTAAGAAAGCATCATGAGCTGGTACAATTTTAAAGATGTGATTTTAAAAAACACTTACCATAAGCAGTTTCATTCAGCAAGGAGTTGGAGATCAGTCCTATCCACCATTCCTGATCCTCAGCAATATGTTTTTGCAAGAACTCTTGAGTTTCTTCATTCTGAATAAAGACAAGATGCCCTCCTCCTCTCTCACACCAGCTCTGGGCACCTGTGAAGGTTTGCTGGAGTCTAACAAACTCATAGCATGAATGGTTGAAAGCTTGCTGGTACTTTGAACAAGGTATTCCTTCTTCAGTTGTTTCCTCCACAGCCAAACTCATGGCAAGAGAAATCAGAACTGTGACCCCCAGCCACATTCTCAGCCCAGTGCTGTGCATTACACTGATCTTGCTTACCAGGACACCACTCTTTTTGCTGCCTTCTTCAAAAGCTTGAGATGTCATCCTTGTCATGTCATCAGCATTCCGCTTCCTCCTTGCTGCTTGCCACAACAGCAGCAATAGAGCATGGGACAGAACAGAACTTCTAATATATAATTGTGCCTGGGGGGCGTTGTGCTGATGCTGAGTCCCTGCACTGACCCTTGTGAGCTCTATTGTATAAATGTCACATCCCATGTGAGATCAGTTTGAGGAGAAGACATGAAATCATTGCTTTTCTTGTGAGCAGAGAAGATAAAGTTGATATATGCTACTGTTGGACATGTGGAAAAGTGAGATAAAGCTCCTACATCAAAGGATGTAGGAGCTTCATTGTGTGAACATTGAGGCTGGGGGGGTCTTTACAACAGCAAAGAGATAAAATAGTGAGAATAAAAAAAAGAGAAACACAAGGAGTTGTGAGATGAGAAAACACACTGCTTCTCTAGATACATTTAATTAGTCTGGATTGTTTTGTTTTTAATAATTATTGAGGTGCCTCTTTTAGATGCTAATGCAATGTCTATAATTACTGTATCAGATCCATCCTACCCACCTAGTTACACATGTGCAGATTCATCTCAGCTGTTCCAGGTAAGATTCATTTTGAACCGTTGTGTCTGTTTAGAATTCCACACCCCAAGTGAAATGCTTCCATCTTCCCTTAAAAGATTAGCTGCTCAGCTTTGTGGGGCTGCAGTATTTATACTTGCTGGGAGGCAGAAGAGAAGGCCATAACTTAAATCAATGATTTAGGAAAGATGAAAATATTGCTTTAATCATCAGAACTACTTGAGAGCCCTATTAGCACGTTCCAAAGGCTGATGATGGACTTTGGGAAGCAAGCCCAGCAACATTTAGGAGCTGAAATCTCTAAATGCATCTCAGCTTCCTTATAAAAGATATCCATCAGGTTTACAAAGCCACCAGCTTAGTAGAAGCACAGTACAAATAAGAATTTTAGCTATTGTGATCCTCCTGTCCTTGGCATTAACTCCATTGAGTTGGATGCCATTATTATTAATTTATACCACCATGACACGAAACTGGAAGAACAAGCACTTATATTTAGACATGGGTTAGTGAGCCAGTTAGCAGAGCACAGAGGAATCAGCAGTGTGTGATTGATGGATTCCTGCACTGCAGAAATTCCTCCTGCCCTGCAGTGCTGGGCTGAAGGCAGTGCCCATCCCTGCAGTGTGCCAGTCCAGCTCCAGCTTTCTGCCAAAGCCAAGTGCATGCACTGCATCCAGTCAATATCTGAGAGTGAACTTCAATCCCAAGACCTTTCTGCATTTCCACTTTATGGCTGTCTTGCTCAGCAGGAAAAAGCAGGACTGTTATCAGGGTTTTCAAGATAAAGTTAATTGGAAAGTGTTTAATGGGTAGAAAACTAGTGGGGGATGAGAGGAAAGGAGAAGAAAATACACTGTTCTGGATGTCTTCCTTCTCACCATACCTGTAAATCAAGAGTTCAGCTATGGAACCCTTGGAGCAGCACATGAATTTCTGATGATTAATAGGGAGAGATTATGGAGCAGCTAAGATGTGAATATTCTGACTGGATTTCCCAGCTCTGGAGAAGGCCAATCCATATTCTAATTAGCTAATTGGCCCAGACACCCATCCTCTTCCCAGATCAGACTGTGTAACTACTATTATCAGCTGCTTCTCTTGGGGGTGTCTGCAAATTAGGAGTCCCTTTCAGGCCCCATACAAATCTTGACAGGCTTCAGTTTGGGAACACCCAATCCAAGTGTTTTATATTCAAGCTGTTGCAGCAGCCAGAGCTGAGGGCAGCTGCATTTAAGTTAATTGGCCACTGTGTGTTTGCACGGTGCTTTCTTCAGACTCCCTGCTTCTTCCTGGGCCCTGCTGACTTGCCAGGCTGCACAGCAGCTGGCACCCAGCCCTCCCACTTTTTCCTCCTAGATAAGAAAAACACAGCCTGTTTCTGAGAGCACAGGCATGATGAAGGAGACTGTGCTTAAATGTACTGGCTTGGTGATACAGACATTTCCAGTAGGAGCTCACTTTTATGATGAATGTGTTCTGTAGCATTGTCCAGTTCTTTCTCTGCTGCTGGAAATCTGACTACATGAACATACTAAAAATGCCAGGGCTGGGGGTGCCACAGGCTCTCCCCTGTGAATCTGCTCCAAAGGCATTGAAATTAATGGAAGTCTTGTCTCTGGCTTTGATGGAATTTGAAATAGGCCCTGAAAAAGACCAAATAATGTTTGGAAATGTCTACAAATAAAGCCAAGCTCTCCAAGTGAGCCTACTGTTGGCAATTTCTATAGCAATGTGCATTTTTTTCCTAATCTACGGTTGCTATAAGTTACCCTTCAGCTGCCTGCAGCAGATGGAGAATGGAAGAAAGACAATTTCCCTCTTTGGCAGTTTGTTGACTTTTTATACTTTAGTGCCAGGAAAGCATTCTGTCAGTTTATTGTTTGCCACAAGAATGAGTAAAGCATTTACATGAAAAGAAAATGCTGCTTTTAAAGCATCAAAATCAGCAGTTAGGGTCTCCAGGAAGAAGGAAACTTCTGAAAACCCTTTTCACTCATAAGTGAGAACTCACTTGATGTCAAGGAAACAGTGCTCCTAGAACTTACCTTCTTGTGGGAAACATGTCTTTTGCATTCTTCCTCAACAGAATGACTTTCTTCTAAAAATAGCTTTCTTATGCCAGCAGTCATTGGCTTTGGAGTGGTCCTGATCTGTGCCCCAGTGCAGATCTCAGATCACAGCTGCATCATGACAGCCTGAGAATGTGCTGGGATTCAAACTGCAGCACTGCAGAATAGCTGGAGTATCCATAATAGAGACCAGAAAGTGCTAGATTTGAAAAATTAAGGAAGTGAAGAGCTGCCAAAGAAAAGGAATAAATCACACCCCTGCTCATTTTGGCTGTTGTTCATTTGCCTTGAGGAAGAGCAAGTAAATTTACGCTCTATAGGAGGATATTACCATCTTTGCATTCCTGAATATTCCTGAATGTAATATATTGATTTTTATCAGGAATATAAACATCTCTGTGTTTAATTTATTAATTGAATAAACATAAAAATGGAAAACTTATTTCTCTTGCTTTGACTTTGGGGTAGAAAAAAAGATTATTTTCAGGTATCAAGAACTTGAGACAAGGTTATGAATATTTCATTTTACTGTGTCTTGTAAACTTGTGCAGTGTGAAGAACATTGTTACCCTGATAGGTGGGAGGTACTGAGTCCTGAGCAGACTCTACACATACACCTACACCTTCCACCTCTTCAGCTGGCTTTAAAAATGCCCATTTGCCAATTAGTTTAAGAAGGTGGATCACAACCCCACTTCCTTCCTTGCTGCTCTCCTGTGCTGCTTATCCTGATGGTGAGACCCAGCTATTGCTGACTAAAAAGGGTTTGGTCTTGTTGTTGCTTCTACTGTCTAATTTTCCATGAGGCAACACACTGAACTTACCAGTGATCCCTGCCAAGTTGCAATTTTGATGTTATCTTGTTTATAAAAACAGGGAAAACAATTCTTATCTGTACAGGGTGCAAGAATTAAATTAGACCTTCATACCTGGCATGATGGGGTCAGGATAAAGATAAGTAGGATTACTTCAGGAGCTCTTGGTTTGAACATCATTTCTGTTTAGAAGATGTGTATGGTTAATTGGATAATTCATCACCTGGGTAAGTCCCTGAGGGTCTTCCCATAGGAACTGTCCCCTTGGAAGTGTCTGGCATTGCCTTGAGGTCATGGCTGGCCTTCCCTCACTGCCACAGTTGATGCCTCAGTCTCTGCCTCTTTCCCAGCTCTTTCCCCTGTGTTATTGCCTTCAGAGCAGAACTTTGACTGTCAGGAAGGAAAGGATGAGTGGACCCCTAGAACATTTATTGAGCTGGGGTTATTGGTGGCCAAACTGAGCCCCAAGTTCACACGGAAAGGAGCAGAACTATCTCAGGAACCTGATGACACCTCATGTGGCCTTGTGATCATATTTGACTAAGTGGCACAATTTAGATCTGCCATTGCTTTAATATCTTAATTAGAGAACTGTTAGAGTGTTAAAGGTGCCCTCTTTGGGTAAAACATTAACTGGTAGATACAAATGGACTGAACTTTGCCCACCACACACAGAGGTAAAATAAATTGCTTGGATCTGAATTTACAGCCATCATTTACAGCCACTGTCTCTGCTGTCTCTCCAGACTTCCATAAGTATAAAGCTGGCCAGACTTCCAAGGTGTTTCAGTTTCCACCTCTTGTTTGTTTTATTTGGTTATTATTATTTTAATTTGGTTACACATTTTTCTTCTGGTTATTATGAGCTATCTCAGAGCTTACAGGGCACGGAAACAGAGAGGGAAAAAAGCTCTATTACAAGTTTTTTTTCATTGATAATGTCTCTTATGAAGAGTTATTCAACAGCTTGCAAAAGAGATGAACTTCACAGTCCTCATGAGAGGATTGGAGGCTCAGCAGCCTCTCTGTTTGGGAACACTGTTTTTGTGCTAAGCCCCTACACTCAGTTGGCATTTACTAAAACCAGAAAAAAAATCCTTTAGAGTCTTTCTTCATGTTCCCCCAAAGATGTACAGTAGGCTACTAGATAGGATAGAGCGGCAACATGAATTTCTGTCATTGTACCTATTTGTGACCCCATTTCTACACCTTCAGTCATGGAAGTAAATGCCAACCTTCACATTGACATCCTGCCCACTTGAAAACACATGACTGAACTGTATAATTTACATATTAAAACTGTAAATAGGGATGTTGAAAGGTGCAAATAAGATTATAGAAGTCTTACAGCAAGGAAGTTTATGTGGGCACTGTGCTTGTTTATTTGTTCTAATGTCTAGTGTTTAAATATTTGGGCAGACTCGGTCTGATGGATACTCAGTGTGGGTAGGCCAGCAGTTCCATGCCTCAGAACTTGAAGAGTTTTAAGTTACTTAATGTATTTATTTTAATGAACAATTCGATATTTCTTGTGGTAGGTATTAAAACTATGACTGTAAAAAAGAAAGCAATACTTCTGTTTATCAAAAAAAAAGGTGAAATCCCACAAAAAACTCCCCAAATATAAAA